GTTTATATTCTTGAACCACTATTGCAAAGGGCGTTATTAGCGGCCCCTTCAGCTCTTTTGCGTTTCAACCACCGTCAACATGGAAAAATTTTCCACCCGTTTGTCGAAAACCGACTATTCCTCTTCTCGGGCTTCTAGTACTTAACGCGCTCGCGCCGCGATCGCAACTGACTGCCTAGCAGTCGCAGTGGCAGTCGCAAGGTGATGGACGGAACAAAGCCAAAACACGAGAGACCGAACACTGAGCAACCACCACCGCCACTCGCAGCCGCGACTCGTACGGTCGGGCAGCTCCACTGCTTACGCCAATGCTTCAGATGGGGGCGGGAACGCGACGGCAATAGTCAGCCAGTGTTCTACTCTCAGTTCGATGAGAGCCGAGGCATACAGCTTGTGGAAGATTCTCAGCGCTGAATTGATCGGTTCTCAGTGTATTTTTGTATTCATGGTTTTATTTTCTCGCCATAAAATAAAACTTTCGTGTAAGTATACATGTAGTGGTACATACTTATATATATACATGTATACATACATATGTATATATGTATGTTTACAAATACAGGTTGATGGACAGCTTGGAGTGCTTTACCTGAATGGCAGGTTTACATCTGTTAACAATCATCATCTTAAAGAATCGCGTATTTGCTTCACAGAGATTTGTACGGAAATGTCAGAATTTAGCTTATAGGAACGTATGATTGTATCTATTATAGATGTGCTCACTATAATTATTTTGACATTTCATGCTGTAGTGCACTGACTAAAGTTCAAATGTAATTCTGAGATACTTATGTTCAATTGATAAAAAGCTAAACTTTTATATAATAAGTCAAATTGTAGGATTCGCCAGTTTATTAGCTATCCCTCTCCCATTTTCCTTCTCTCTCACGCTCGCTCTCTCTGTATGAATTTTCTGTGGCGTTTAGTTAATTGTAGATTATTCATGTCGCTTATCAATGAAACCTATCAAAATTTATTACACGTTTCGAATGTATGTATACAAAATGTCTATACTTAGGCACATAGCATGATAATATATATATATATATATATGTATACATATATGTGGTGTGTGGTTTGAGCACCGATAACATTGAATTGTGTAGAAACACATTGTTTTTAAACCCTGTATTTTTCGCTCATACATTCACGATTCGCTCATGTTTCCTGTATTTGTTGCTTATCTTCAATGAACAAAGTCCGTTAACGAAATTTGTCTTACTTGTTAGTCATTATTTATTACGATGATAAAATGTTTGCTCGTGCTATGTATGTGGCTTGAAAATGGGAGTATGTATAACGGAAAAATTCTTTTTAGGCAAATGAAGGCAGCTATTAGATTCGAGTTACTTAAAAAAAGTACATTTTCCAAGATTATAATATAAATACATTACTAGACTTGACATGAGATATAGAAGTGTATTAGGATATTGACTTTTTTGACTTCGAGCTGATCGTTATCTAATCTTGGATACACTAAAGACAGTCGGTAACTCCTGTTCATATCGCTAACGCCTTTTTTGTGGACTTTGCATTTTCTTTATCATCTATGCGACGGTTACTAACGAATTGTATATACTTATGTGTCCAGCTTTGATAATTGGATACTGTAGATAAGGAAAATACTCGCTATTTATGGGATCATTATATGACGGTTATTTGATAACAGCTGTTAGCTGTGTTAACTATAAAATAGCCGCCAGTTGCTACCAAGTCAGGTGTTTATTTAATTATATTTCAGACCCATTATATATATTATATAGATATAAAGACCTTGCTTGACCTTTTTAATTTAATAGTCTACTAAAATAAATAAAAAATATATATAATTTATAGTCGTTCTTATTAAGTATGATAGACAGACCGCACAAATCCAATATACTCCTTTTCGATTCATGTGAGTTCATTTGAATCCCAAAGCGATTATTGCAACAAGTTAAACCGGTTGTAGGTTTTCGAATTTCCATGTTTACAATTTTCCAAGCTTAAAGTTTTATACGCGACTTACTATTTTAATTTATATATGTACGTTGTTCGCACAGAGTTGATTAAAAAGAATTAAGTGTTTTTTTTTTTTTTTTTTGTCAGTTATGCAAAGCAACTAGTGTTTCATGACCTAACTTGCGTTGTTTCCCATTGACATTGCGGTCATTTCCCAACACGACTTTGTATTATATTTAAGCTATAAAAAGACTGGTTCAATTAACCAGTATTTTTGCAATGTTTTACTTAATTGGGACTTTTCTTGCATTTACTCAAGCGTTTTCCAAGATAAGTGTATTATTACTCACAGGTTATTATTTTCCAAAAACTGCTCCCAACTATAGTTATCCATAGCTATATCGATGGCGATTTTATTTCCTTTTTCTGTTGGACGTTGTGAAACGGTTCAAGGTGCATGACCAAAAGAAATGAAGCTAAGACCCTCTCGCGGTAGCCTTGAAGCAACAAGTGGCAATATCCACTAAAATGCCAATCTGAACTCAGAGTATGTGCATGTGTGCATCTTTTTTAATGCTGCCATGTACAAAAAGACGCAATTGTTATACAAATACATGCACTGCTAAACAGCCCTATCGTATTTAGTTGGCTGCTTGCGAAAGAAAATCTCAAACCGGCAGCCACTGGAAACGATGCCACACAACTGGAAACGCATTGTGCGAGCCAACTACAAACTGTGCAGCAATTGCAAACACTCACACTCTCTTGCACAGTATGGTGGAAAACCTAACTAATACATACACACAGAAAAGCGCCAGATGTATGTGTGTGTGTAATAGCAATTGAAAGCTTGGCCAAAATTACGTCAGTTAGACGATGTAACGAATATACCAAAACTAAAATATGCTCTCGCCAGCATACATATCTATGCAAGTATGTATATACGTAGAAACATATTCATGTGTATGAAATAGCCTCATATATATTTTTCCAGTTTCGGCTTTTGTTATAGTTCAATTCACCTCAGCGAGCAAACTTCAAGGTTTTTTTTTTATTGAAAACTATCACAAAATGAATAAAACTGATTAAAATTATGGTACCTCGGAATAAACATTAACTTAAATATATTGTATTTTAATGCACGAGTTCAAAATTAATAATAATAATAAATAAAATGTTGGCCCAAGTGTAGCCTATCTTTAGGCTTTTATAAAATCTTTTAAAGAAAATTTTGACAGCAGATCGCACAGAAAATGTTAGTACATTGTTAATATTATA